CGCCGCACGCGCCGCCGTCGCCGCCGCCGCTGGGCCACCCGCCCGAGCCGGCCGACGACGACGCGCCCAGCTCGGACGACCTGGAGCAGTTCGCCAAGCAGTTCAAGCAGCGCCGCATCAAGCTGGGCTTCACGCAGGCCGACGTGGGGCTGGCGCTCGGCACCCTCTACGGCAACGTCTTCTCGCAGACCACCATCTGCCCCTTCGAGGCGCTGCAGCTCAGCTTCAAGAACATGTGCAAGCTCAAGCCCCTGCTCAACAAGTGGCTGGAGGAGACGGACTCCTCCACGGGCAGCCCCACCAACCTGGACAAGATCGCGGCGCAGGGCCGCAAGCGCAAGAAGCGCACCTCCATCGAGGTGGGCGTCAAGGGCGCCCTGGAGAGCCACTTCCTCAAGTGCCCCAAGCCCTCCGCCCAGGAGATCACCTCGCTGGCGGACAGCCTACAGCTGGAGAAGGAGGTGGTGAGAGTGTGGTTTTGTAACAGGAGACAGAAAGAGAAACGCATGACTCCCCCGGGAGGGACTCTGCCGGGAGCCGAGGATGTCTATGGGGCAAGTAGGGACACGCCACCGCACCATGGGGTGCAGACCCCCGTGCAGTGAACTCGCAGCGGGGGGAGGGCCCGGGGGGCTGCCCCCTCCTCCTCCTCCTCCTCCTCCAACTTTTGATTCTTCTCGTTTTTAATTTGGCGGGCGGGTGGGGAGAACTAGCCAAAGGTTTGCCATCTCTCTCTGTCTCTCCCTCCCTCTCTCTGTCTCTCTCTTAATTTATTGGGAAGGGGGGCGGACTCGTTTTGGTTCGGATGATAATGATGATGATGGTTGTTTTTTGGGGGTTTCTTCTTCTTTTTTTTTTTACGCCCCTATTTATGTGACAGCCCATATTTTATTACTGACATAAAGCATTCACCCGCAGCACCCCCACCCCCCGCCGTCTCGTGTGGTTTTCTTTTGGGGGGGGGGCGGCTCGGGTCGGGGGTTGTCCGCGCGCCGGCCCCTCCGATGAGCGTGCGCCTCTCCGGGAGTAAGAGAACCGCAGCGGGAAAAGTTGGTCCCTTCTTGTTTCCGTGGGTGTGTCGAGAAGGGTCTGCAGGCGCGGGATGGAAAATGCAACCGGAAGATTTGCTGTGAGCGGTGTGTTTTGGACATGGACAGGTCCCCTCTCGCGGTATCCTGCTGCGCTGAGGTTTCTTGCGGTTGTGTCAGGAGAGGCCGAAATACGTACACGATTTCACTCTGGGTGTGCAAAAGAATCAACTTGTGTCTCTCTCTCTCTCTCTCTCTCTCCTTTTTTTCTTTTCTTTTCTTTTCTTTTTCTTTTATCCCCCCCTTTGAAAAATCCATTTGCTTTCCAAATGGGGCAGGAATAGTCACGTAAGTGGATTCTTTTTACCGTCTCGGATCTCTTGATTCCAGCAATATTTGTATGTGGAGAGAACTTTTGGAAGCATGTGCCTATGTGGAAAGTCTCGCGCTGGAGAAACGTTGAATGGCCTGGTAGGGGTAAAAAACAAACAAACCATCAGATGCTTGCTTTTGGGTTTGCTAGAGAATCTCTCTCCCGTCTGTGGCATTTGACTGATTGCAAATATTGCTACTTGACTCTGGACAAACTACACGCTCGGTGAAACTGCAGGTGAAAAGGGAATTTTTTTGTTGACGATCAGGCGCATGGCATGTCCGCTCGCAGATTTATTCTTATTTTTATTTTTATTTTTTACATACGAGGGACACGGTTTACACCCAACCGGACCAGTCTTCTGTTTTCCACAGTTTGTTTTTTATTGTATTTTTGTGCCTTCGGTGTTTGTTTGCAAATGCGTTATTGTTCAGGCAACTGTCACAATCAGCCATGTTACTATAAATTAATTATCATATTTTCTCTGTGTCATTTAAAAAAAAAATGTAGTTCTTGTATATCAGTTAATACAAAGGATATTGTTTCAGATGCCAAACGCTCATTAGCTGTTTCTTTGAATTTATTTTTTTTTAATAAAAAAACAAACCAACCCCCAGTGTCGCTCTGGCCATCAGTTATCACGCAAAAGGTTTGTCATGCTAAATACTATGTTTGATACCCATAAATTAACGGACTAGCCAATGGGTTCACTGTGCAGCACTGGAGCTGGCAAACCCTGCAGATGAATGCACTAATAACTTTTTGTAGCATAAAATGAAATGTGATTTAAAGGTGTCGAGGCACAGTATTAATAAAGCAGCGTGCATTTTGTCAGCTTTCGTTACTTGCTCAACTTGAGTTTCTTTTGGCTTAGGTGGCAATTGTGCAAAATGCAGGGAATTGTGCAAATTGTAGCGTGGCGTTTGAAGGACGGTGTCGGATGTTGGCCCTCCCTCCCCACACGGTTTGTCTGCCTCCAGAATATTTCTAACACGTAGAATTTCCTGAGCATTTGCGGTGGGTGAGAGAACATTATATTTATCAGGAATAATTTAACAGTGATTTATAAATACATGAACATCGGGGTGTCATCCAAGCAACATCATGAAACTAGGGAAACATTTCCAATTTTCAGATTCTTCTTTATCTCTGTCTTCATTTTTTTTTTTTTTTGCCTCTGTTTCATTCACCCATCCTGGCATTTATTCATTGATGCTGTTGAAACTCTCTAAAGCCATTTTAAGAAAGTCTTTGACGTTCCCTATGCTTTAAAAAAAAAAATGAAACAGCAGGGGGAAAAAAAAGAATGAAATAAGAGAGAAAACCCTAGTCGCAGTTTGGATGAGACTAAGTACAGAATTTGAGCTCTTGCCTGTGTGTACCGGGAGCTATTGAGATAGAGAAAGTCTCTCTCCTTTTAAGTAGTTTGTATGGCAAACAGTGCTGTATTGATATTTGAAAAAGAGGGGTCAGTTTTCACATTTCATTCCCATAATGGATGAGATATGAAGCGAGTCCCACGGAGGTTGAACACCCTTGGGTTGTTTGGTTTGTCAGAATATATAAGGCACTTGCAGCCTTTGTGCGTTAGCTCCCTCATGCTATTGAGCAGCAAAAATAAAACACACTTCATTTGTGCAGTGCCAAAATGTTCAGCCCTTTTAAAAATCAAATAGCCGAAGGTTTGCCTCATTTAGTAGAAGTGTTCCAGTTCTTAGTCACGGCATAAACAGCAATTAGGGTGGGTTGGGGTTTGTTTGTTTTTTTCCCCTTCGTTTCCTAAGCTAAATGAAAGTGTTACCGGGGGTCCGTAGCTGGAGACACGAGGCACAAAGCACGTAAAAGAGCGAAGGTAGTTTTGGTAGCTCGGAGACCATACAAAAGTGTAAATGCTTATTATTTAGTGGCACAATTTTAAAGGAGGGAAATGCGTTCAAAAGGCTGGGCCTAACGTAGGGAGAGAAACCGGCGCTGTGCCAGTGAAAAGATGGTACGGGAGGCTGAGGTTGACACCGCTTTGCAAACGCTGCCCTGGACCAGTGGGTTTCGGGGGACGTGGCCGTGCCCTGCCGGCCTTCTGTTGTATTTTGCTACACCTACATTCTGGCGTTTGATGAATGCAAGCCTTCATCGTCGGGAAATACCTCGTGCCACTAAGAAAACAGTCCTCCCTTCAGAGCGACTTGGTTTCAGGGGAGTCGAGGCCAAGTCCGGCTCTCGTGCGTGGTCCGAGTGGGAGGACTCTGGAGGGCCGGGGCTTTGATCAGGGAAAGCGTGGCTGGGTCCAGGACGGGGCAGTCGGCCGCTCGGCCAGAGTTCGGGGTTGCAGCCGCAGGGCCACTGGTAGGGCATCTGAACGGGGTGACATTGTCCCTGCTGCCGGCCGCACGGAGGGCGCTTTGCCTTCGCTCCCAAGGTGGCATTACTGCCTCCAACTCCCCCCATCTCCTTGAGGGGCAAATGTTTTCCAAACGCCGCCACCTTCTTAAATGTCTTCACCGGCAATTTGGGGGAGACAGCATCGCTGTCCTCTTTGTGCAAAGGACCTTCAGCAGGGCACGGTCTCGTTTTCCCTTTTCCTAAAGCTGGGGTAGCGTGGGAGCCCGGCTGTCGCGGCCCGCGGTCTCGCTTGGGATTCCTTTCTTGTCTGCAAGGAGAGGCAGCCCTTGCTCTGCCCCCCTCTCCGGTGCGGAGCCCAGGAGGGCACCGGCGAGCTCTGCAGCATGGGGCAGTTTGCCTTGCTAGGCGCAGTCGCTGCTCATTAGTGATGCCCTATTAACCTAACTTGTGTCGTCAACAGAATCCAGCCTACCCATGGCTTGCTGCCGGGGCCCGATCCTGCCAGAACGAGCTGCGACAGTAGCAACTTAATCCCTTCTCGGACGACCTGGGCCCTGGCGTAAAACTTTAACGGCACGAAGGCTAGGTCCTCGTGGGGCCAGTTCCCGCTTCCCGCAAACTCGGTGAGAGCAGTCTTGGGCTACGTGCACATGAAGTACACTTCCACTCCTCGTTAGCAGGCTGGGGAGAGGGTGCCCTCGCAGATCTGTCTTTTTCTTCCTCCCCACGGTAAACTCTGCAGCCTTAACCCTGCTCCCAGTGAGGTCAGTAGCCAAACTCGCGCTGTTTGGGGCGAGCTACGTCAGGCCGTGCAGCTGGGGCGTGCTAGAAATGCGCAGGGATCAGGCCTCGGTATCTGCCTCCTGCTCCCTGGACATTGGTGTGCGTGGAAGCGAGCACGCAGCCACCCCCCCACTGCTCCGAGTTTGCTGCGTGGACTGGGAGGACCGTGTCCAGCTGTGGTGCTCACACGTGCACTCCCGCCCCGGCGGCTGCTGCCCTGCCGGTACCGTGTAGGCTGAGTGCCCTCTATCGGTCCTTGCAGGGGAAGAGAAGGCAGGCGAGCCGCTCGGCTCTGACACCTCAACTGGGAACTCCTGGAAACAAGTCTGAGACATGGACCGAAAACGCTGTCCCCGGACAACGCCGCATGTCTGATGTTGCTGTCGTCTGTCGGTCTGCTCCCGGGACGTCTGCACCCCCTTGCTCCAACGTGTCCCCCCACCGACGGCTTCAGACTTGAATAGACCCCGGTTCACCAGATCAAGTCAGGGAGAGCGAGAGAGATCCCACGCTCCCATTCAGCCTGGCGAGGTTGGACGACGGATCTCCGCTCAGCCTGTCTCGGGCCTACCTTTAATATTTATTGGTGCGCGCAGATGTGCGTGTACACACAGGCACTCTCCCTCTCGCACACAAATATAAATACAGCCAAGTGCAGCTAATCAGATGTTTTCCTTTGTGATTCATGTAAAACTCGACCTGCGAAAGTTCCCACTAGTTTCAATTAGAACTAATAAGACCAGGCTTCTCTGTGTAACTAATCATGCCAGGTCTGGGAATTATGGGCTTGCAAAGGCAGCATTAAAGCATATGATACTGTACACAAGAAATAATGCTCGTGTTAAATCAGCCCTCATGAATATTTCATGCCCTTGATATCACGTTATTTTTGGTGCGAGTCAAAATCAGTGCTGTTTCTTGCATGCGGGGCGACAAAGGCATTTCTTAATGACAGGTGTGCAGCAGGCACGGGGGCGCGTACTCCGGGCTGGGAGAGGGCTCCATTTCTCAAACTACTGTAATGTTTTCTTCCTAGGCATCTCCAGCACCCAGTTCACCTTCACATATTCCTCATTGATTTCACATGTTCGTTCCTGCCAGCTCTTAACCAT